CTAAAGTTGTACTACAAAGTCGCCAGTTCTCATCGTCCAGCTCGCCACATACTCCGCGTACTAAAGTTGTACTACAAAGTTGCCAGTTCTCAGCTTCCAGCTCCCCGGATGCTGTGCCTGCCACGAAATCTGCACATGGAGGTTCACAAAGTGCTGTGCCTGCGAAGAAATCTACACATGGAGGTGCACAAAGTGCTGTGCCTGCCACGAAATCTGCACATGGAGGTTCACAAAGTGCTGCGGCTGCCACGAAATCTGCACATGGAGGTTCACAAAGTGCTGTACCTGCCAGGAAATCTGCACGTGGAGGTTCACAAAGTGCTGCACCTGCCACGAAATCTGCACATGGAGGTGCACAAAGTGCTGTGCCTGCCACGAAATCTGCACAGGGAGGTTCACAAAATGCTGCACCTGCCACGAAATCTGCACATGGAGGTTCCCAAAGTGCTGTGCCTGCCACGAAATCTGCACATGGAGGTACACAAAGTGCTGCACCTGCCACGAAATCTGCACATGGAGGTTCACAAAGTGCTGCACCTGCCACGAAATCTTCACTTCAAGAAACAAGTGAAACCTCTAATCCCAATGGACGGACGATTCCGAGCAGGATCCGAGCATGATCCGAGCATGACCCGAGACCGTCTCGCAACCGTCGTTCCGCAGACCTTGACTTGCCAGCTTCGGAGCCACCGGTTCCATTGAAAAATACAGCATTTCGTGCCTTCGCTATCTCTCCGCAACGCATTTTGTATTGCGCCTGCCACGAAATCTGCACATGGAGGTGCACAAAGTGCTGTGCCTGCCACGAAATCTGCACGTGGAGGTTCACAAAGTGCTGCACCTGCCACGAAATCTGCACATGGAGGTTCACAAAGTGCTGCGCCTGCCACGAAATCTGCACACGGAGGTTCACAAAGTGCTGCGCCTGCCACGAAATCTGCACGTGGAGTTGCCTGGAGCTTGAGCTGTTGACACCAGAGCTGGTGTATGAGCGGTGTATGAAGACTGGTGTATGATGAGTGGTGTGTGATCAGTCGTGTATGATGAGTGGTGTATGATGAGTGGTGTATGATGAGTGGTGTA